CAGCAGGAACAACAGCAACACCAACAACGACACCATACGAACTACGAGACGACGAGAACCTAAGAAAGTGATGGGAAGGCCAGCGATGAATGAGCGGATGAACGAAAGTACTCGGTACACGCACATCACGAGGGGTATATGAGAAGAATGAGAATGAGAATGAGAATGAGAATGAAAGCCAGAAAGTCCATTGGGCGAACAACGAATGAACAGGCGATGGAACGAAGTAGCCGTACCAGCAGCTACACCTACGAGTTATAACACAACAGCGAACCGACAAGAGCACCAAAGAAAGAAACCATTTACAACTACTCTACCCTATAATCCAGCGAGGCTACCTATGGACCCCGAAGGGGTCAACCGTGAAGCTTTACCAAAGTTGGGAGGCCTCCAATGCATGCAAATAATGCAACCGACCTATACAACTCACACAACTCACACAACTCATACCTACCTACAAACCTTACCACACGGCGGGTTGAGCTTTCAAGCAAATATTTAAAGTACAACTTGAGCTTGGTATCTAGCTACTCAGGTTGTCACGACGACTTACCTGAAGGGAAGGGAAGGGAAGGGAAGGGAAGGAAAGGAAAGGAAAGGAAGGGGTCATTTGCATGGGATGGGATTATACATGACGGATCTTGTTTCTTTGTTCTTTTTCTCTTTTTTTTTTTTTTTTTTTTTTTCCTTTTGTATTCTTGGTTCGATTATCTAAGGTATCTATACACCTATCTCTGGAATGGCATTCTCCCTTTTTCTTCCTTTTATCTGTTTCTGTTTCTGTTTTTGTTGTTTTTGTTTGTTGTTTCTGGTATAAAAACCCCCAACACTCACTGCTTTACCTGCTTGTGGGGCGTATACATCGGATTGATCGTTTTGCTTTTTTTTTCTTTTCCCACATATCTATCTTTACAGTTGGGATGGGCGCGCGCGCGGCTGGGCAAATGGAATGGGTTTATACTGTAGCAGTACAGCAGGTCCTCATTACACTAGGTAGTCTATCAGACTCTAGGTAGTGGTAGAAACGAACGAACAAACGCATATAAATGATGGGATGAAAGTCCAGTTGAACGAAATATCTTACGTGGTACAGCGATGATTGGACTTGCCTCGGTGAAGAGACGTGAGGCTGAATGCCCTCCTTCAAGTCTATAGACCATCCATCGATCAATTGACCAACAAAACTACGACGGCGCATCAGAAACGAAGGGGCATGGAAACCTTGGTTTGAATGGAGTTCCTACCTAGGTAGTCATTGCGTAAACCTGCCGGCACGCTATCAACTTAGCCAACACTTTGTGCGCTGATTGCGTGTGATCATGCTCATAGCTACCTACCTCTAATATATACTCCCAGGCATTCCTTCCCTTCCCTTCCCTTCCCTTCACTTCACTTCCCTGTGTATGCCGTAAGACTGGCTGGTTGAAAGATGGCCGCCGATGAGTATGACACCAACATCAACCCGAACTACCTCAAGCGTGTCCCGACAAAGTGCTCTGACGTTCTCAAGTTTTGACTTCTTAACGTAATCTAGCCACCAAGGATCATAAGAGTCAAACAATTATTAGAGGATATGGATGCCTGGTACGTCCTTTCTTCTCCTCACTCACTCACCCTCTCTCTCTCTCTCTCTCTCTCTCTCTCTCTCTCTCTCTCTTTTGGTATAACACAGGGCTGATTTCTTTGTTCTGACGGGGCGGAAGAACAAGGGTAGAATAAGGAGGCGAATCTACCTAGATACCTCATTAGCTTTGGGGAGGGGAATAACTCGTTCCCGTTTGTAAAAGTTTCAATAATGATTAAGGTTCTCTCAACGCCACATATGTAAGGGAGTATCTTTCCGCCCTCAAAAGCTTCCTTCAGAATCCTAAATTTACAGCATCTATTCTTAGACTTGCGGCAGTTTTCTCCAAGTTTTTAGTAAGCTCTGGATTTTTGTACCAAACTGAGAAATATACTAGGGCTAGATTGTGCGCCCTTCAGCCTAACTCTACAAACAACTAGAAAACTTCAAGTTATTCTGGGCCTGCGTGAATGAGAATCGTACGGTACCTAAGCATGCGTCTGCTATCATTGGAAATAGTTACTACGAACACGGACACGGACAGGAGAAGGAATGGTGGTGATAAGTCGCCCGACCGTGACCCCCCAGCTCAGTGTGTCCTTCATCTGTCGATGTCATGACTATTCCGATAGAGTCTGACATGTGACGCAGAGCTTCAAACTGGTTCTGCATGCGCCCTCGAACAGTCAGTCTGAATTTACTCTCTGTCGCATCTGAGAGTGAAGTGATGGTCTTTCCTGTAAATCTCTTCGCACAGCATCCTCTGAGTGAATAGACTTTGTTGAAATGTATCGACATAACCTCATCGTCTTTGTTTGATGTGTGGATCGTCGTTGTCTCTCATTCTTTCCACTTGGAATAGGCTTCCCAACTTCAAAATATCGACGTAAGTTTGAAAACGTGACGTCTGCTTCCTGGCACTAGGATTATTGAAAGGGAGAAAAACAGCGTTGACCTGGGGAATGACACGGAAGTGACAACATTCGGCGTACTTCATTCTGTCTCGAGGCGATAGGACCGAGTGTTGGGCGGCTGTCTGAGGATGGGGACTGGGTGGTATGGAAAGCAAATGTTCTCGTCTGGAATTAGTCAACTATCTTCAGTGTTTGATAGTCCCCAGGTCCAAAGGGGCGGCATGATGGTAGTATCGAAATTCTCGACTCGGCTTATCCGTGGAGAAGGAAGGTTATTTTGCGACGGTCCTCTGGCAGGGTAGGTTATCTTCTTTTCGCAAATTGAAGTCTTTGGTGTAAAGCCACGAGTGTAAAGTAAGTAGAGAATTGTTAAGAACAAGAGAAGATGCCACGACAGGCAAAAGAGTACAAGGCATGTCTTGATAGCGCACTTCTCGGCATTTCTTCCCCTTCCTCTAAAGAACTGACTGGTGAATGAAAGAAAGAAAGCCAACGTACGATTAAGCGACTATTCCCAACGAAAGGAAAAACATGACCTGAGGCTCTCAGCCGCTTGGTGCGGATGGCCTGATTACCTTTTGACTCTCTTGGCACACAGGTTCCCGCATGCTTTTAATAGCCGGTTGAAATGGCGGGTAGGGCCAACGACGGCGTTGACGTTGACGGTGTCACAGCCGAGGTACCAAGTAAAGTCTTGGTTGCATGGAACTAATCCTTCGAGTCCGGCTCCTCGTACGATTGGTTCCTAAATAGGTATGCTGCCAGTGCCTTTGTATCGGAGCGACTTGTTGGGTCGAGCAATGTGGTTTTCATTCCTTTTCTTCAACCTTTCATGAGAATCAATCTCAATGTAACTCGGGCATCGTCTCGAAACAAAGGTGGACGAGGTGCCGAGGAGAAGCTCGCAGGCCGGATCGGGGTCTGGGGTTGACGGCCGAACCCCACCAGGGACCCGACGGACACTTGGATGGGACGAACCGGAGTTCATCTCGAATTGTTTGATGCTTCACTGCGTCGACAGCCAGGATGACGAAGGGAAGGCAAGACTGGCCGTTGTGGGCTCCATACCTCTACCGGGCGGGCAGCAAGATTAGTTGCAAATCCGGGGAAGGCGCCGTGGTCCGTTTGATAGCACTGCATGGAAAGAAGCACCTGCTTTGGTTGTTATCTTGCCTTATCATGGCGACCGCATTCCTGCCCTGGTCCGTCCTGAAGTCCGCAACTTCCTCGTTGTCCGTATCAAGTTCGTTGAAGTGCAGTGCGTTGGGCGCACGTCAGCCGTCAGCATCATCATGTTCCATGGTTGGCAAGTTTTGCAAAGTCGGGACATGCCGGATTTCCATGTCGTTCGATTCCCAAGCTTCGCGGAAGTCAATGATCCGAGCGAGGCATCTGGAGAAAGCTCATCAAGAGGTGGAGAGAGAGTTAGTGGTCGTTCAGACTTCAGGGACTTCACCATTGCCACACCTTTTTTGGCGAACAAAAAGAGGGAAAGGGTTTGTGAATGAATGAAACAAATTGCTGCCAATGTCACTTGTACCCGACAGCCAAGCGTGGGGGCTGTGGACGGTGGGCGACAAACAGCGGAGACCAAAGCGAAGCGACATGCCGCCACAATGTACAAGGTACATGAGCTAAGGTGAGTATATCCGGCCAATCGCCGTCGGATCCCGACTTATACGGAGCCCACCTGCCCTGAATGGACGGGACCTGAATGCACGGACGGGAACATGTCCCCAACATTCTGCTCAACAAAACTTATCAACGGCAAATTCAGGACGACAGACGAGCGATCAACGCATGGCTCGCCCGCAAAACAGCCCCAAAACAACACCCTGAGAGCACCAAGAACACTTGGTGAGAAGCACATGTCTTGTAAAATACCGAAGCCAATCCGCTGTGGTGCAATTCCAGTCACTCACACGTCTTGACCGAGTCGTTGATGAAATCCACTCCTCTGCTGTTGTCGGCTCATCACCCATCGGAAAACCCCAACCAGTTTCCATTGCCTTCGCCGGGGTCTGGCCATCCATCTCCAAATTTGCTGGTGACTATTTGCCCTAGGACGAACGGGAGGCAAAAAAAAGTGTGAAGGGAACCAAGGGCCCTGGGAGTTGTCGGCACTGCTCGCCGAGCCTTCCCTCTTGAAACCTTAATACTGGAATTAGGTAGGTAGACGCTGCCCTGCTGTATCCGCTTTGTTGGTGCAAAGATCAGGTTAGCGAGGACCGACTCACGCACTACAAACCTGAAGTACTTTTACTTGTACACTACAGGGCAGCACACTGAAGCAAGCAAGCAAGCACGAGTGAGTGACGGGAGTGTGGGTGGACTCCCTCCAATCTGCAAGTACCTCTACCAAAACAGACTTTCTCCCTCTCCATCCTCCCACCCGGAAACCCACTTCACAGGCAAAACCTGAGCTTTGATCTGAGAACCCTTGGGCCTGCCTCCTCTTGCTACTACTTAATAATAACCTGAACCTCTGCCCAACTCCCACCTTTTTCCCTTCCCTTTCCTTCAGCCCACTTGACCTAGGTCATCCATCTCCCATCCCGACTCTTCCCAACTCGTTGTGCTCCAGCAACGACAGAGCGGGTCCACCTTTTCGACACCATACCTCACTCACCCAGTTTGTCGTCGACTTCATCCCTCGACAACAACAACATCGACACCATGGCGTCGACTTCGGCCACGGATATCCCTGCTGAGGTTCAGGCTGTGAATGTCCCTGATGGCACCACCGACTTCATCCCTCTCAGAGGCAAGAAGTATGACCTCAAGAAGCCTCACATTACCGAGCTGCCCATCACCTGGGGCAACTGGTGTAAGTAACTTCTCTTTTTTCTGATAGCTTTGAAGCTTCGGCAAACAAGAGACGCTGACAATACCTCCCCTCACAGACAAGCACGTCAACTGGCTGAACACCACCTTCATCATCTTCGTGCCTCTCGCCGGTCTCATCTCTGCCTACTGGGTCCCCGCTCAGACCAAGACCATCCTCTTCTCTATCGCCTACTACTACTTCGCCGGTCTCGGTATCAGTAAGCATGCTCCGCGTCCAAGGCTATCAGAAACAGGTCCATGACTGACTCATTCTCCTCTAGCTGCCGGTTACCACCGACTTTGGGCGCACACCTCTTACAAGGCCACCCTCCCCCTCAAGATCGTTCTCGCCGCTGGTGGTGCTGCTGCCGTTGAGGGTTCCGCCCGCTGGTGGTCCAGGGATCACCGTGCTCACCACAGATACACCGATACCGACAAGGACCCCTACTCGGTCCGCAAGGGTCTCCTCTACTCACACATCGGCTGGATGGTCATGAAGCAGAACCCCAAGAGAATCGGCCGTACCGACATCACCGATCTCAACGAGGACCCCGTCGTCGTTTGGCAGCACAAGCACTACATCAAGTGCGTCATCATCATGGCTCTCATCGTCCCTACCCTTGTTTGCGGTCTCGGCTGGGGTGACTATGCTGGTGGCTTCATCTACGGCGGTATCCTCCGTATCTTCTTTATCCAGCAGGCTACCTTCTGCGTCAACTCTCTTGCCCACTGGCTCGGCGACCAGCCCTTCGACGACCGCAACTCACCGAGAGATCACGTCATCACTGCCCTCGTCACCCTTGGTGAGGGTTACCACAACTTCCACCACGAGTTCCCCAGTGATTTCCGTAACGCTATTGAGTGGTGGCAATATGACCCCACCAAGTGGTGCATCTGGGTCTGGAAGCAGCTCGGTCTCGCTTACGACCTCAAGAAGTTCCCTCACAACGAGATCGAAAAGGGCCGTCTTCAGCAGCAGCAGAAGAAGCTCGACCAGAAGCGTGCCACCCTTGACTGGGGTATTCCCCTTGAGAACCTCCCCGTTGTCAGCTGGGACGACTTTGTCCAGGAGTCCAAGAACGGCAAGGCTTGGATCGCTGTCGCTGGTGTCATCCACGATGTCGGCAAGTTCATTCAGGACCACCCTGGTGGCAAGGCTCTTATCAACTCGGCTATTGGCAAGGACGCTACCGCCATCTTCAACGGCGGTGTCTACAACCACTCCAACGCTGCCCACAACCTTCTCTCCACCATGCGCGTCGGTGTCATCCGCGGCGGCTGCGAGGTTGAGATCTGGAAGCGTGCTCAGGCCGAGAACAAGGATATTGCCACTGTTACCGACTCTTCTGGCAAGAAGATCGTTAGAGCTGGCCTTCAACCTACTCGTGTCACCCCGCCCGTTACCACGGCTGATGCGGCATGAGTGGAGTTAGAAGAATGATGGGGTTTCACGGAGTCTTCGGATCATGGAAGGCTTCAAGAGACAGGGAAAACAAAATTGCATGGGAAGCCGTGGTTCTAGCCGTAGATAGCGCGCAATGACCACGGTGTAGTACAGTAAAGAGAGAAGCAAGACACGTGCACCTCCGTTTCTTTCGCTGTACATACACTTCCCGACTTCGGTCTTCACGGCGTTTTGGGGAGATTTGGGATTTTGGTCTGCATGGAAAATAGTCTGCTTTTTGCACGCGTATGAAGACAACATGGTATGGGTTGAAAAGGCGGACACTTTAGGGTTTACAGGTGAAAGGAGATACCAACAGATTAGATTGCGACTTTGTGTGGGCTGGCTAGTCTTGTGGCAATAGCATCATACATTCGTTATGCAAGACATTTGACCATATTCATACCACATGAGAATGGTTGGTTCGCATGATGAGATACTCATTTACATGATCCATTTCCGCTGAACCCGATCAAAACTCCATACGACAAGGTTGAGAATCCACACGATCGCTTACCGTGGTGGAACCAGGGAGTTCGATTACGCCCGTTGACATGAGCGGAGCAGCTAACATTGTCGTGTGGATGAAGCCAAACTACAGGGCGGGATGCTCGGTCATTACAAGAATCATGAAACGTATCAAAGGATTTCTTTAAAACTCGTTGGTTGATAATTACCCGGCACCAGTCTTTCTTAGTGTAGTCCTATTTTTATTATTTAGTCTTCAACCGCCGAGAGGTTAACCTAAGGGAAGAAAGAGTGAGGCTATCTATTCCACCACTCACTTAATATTGGTTGAAGGGGGGGGGGGGGGGGGGGGGGGG